GGAGGATCTGAATCCAAATCCGGCCTCACACACATGACACTTACTAGCTGTGTGACCCTGGGCAAGTCACTTAACACTGATTGTCTCACTAAAAATGGGGGGGGGAGAAAGTGGGAATTTGAGCTGTCTGAAAGCAAGCCAGGGAAGCTAAGAATAAGGCATCCGGTTCAAATGAACAGGGTATTGTGACGAATAGCAGATACAGTGTAGGTGATTTGTAGAGTGCATGGAGGGAGTAAGATATAAGAACACTGGGAGGGTAAGAAGATTTAGAGAGGTGTTAGCTTTAAATGCCAACGGAGGATTTTAGAATTGATCCTGGAGGTAATGGGGAGGCACTAGAATTTATTGAGTTTGGGGGTGGGAGTGACATGGTCAGGCTTATACTTTAGGAAAATCGTTTTTTCAGCTTAGTAGAGAATGATCTAAAATGGTAAAAAAACTTGAGGCAGGGAAACAAGATAGAAAAATTCCATGCAAAAAGTAATGTGGGTGGCAGCTAGGTGGCGCAGTGAATTAGAGCACTGGGCCTGGAGTCAGGAGGATCTGAATTCAAATCCAGCCTTGGACCAGACACTTGATACTTACTTAGCTGTGTGACCCTGGGCAAGTCACTTAACCCTGATTGCCTCACCCCCAAAAATACTTATTTTAAAAAAAAAGTAATGTAGGCCAACACTAGAGTGATGGCTTTGTGAGCAGAGAGAAGGGGATATAAATATATATATAAGAGAGATTGTGGAGGTAAAAACCAGATTTGATGATAGAATGAATATGCGGGGTAAGTAGGAAAGAGAAGTGGAAGGTGACATTGAGATTACCAGCCTAGGTACCTGGAAGGGATGGTGGCATCCTTGAGAGTAATAGAAAAGTTGGGAAATTGAGGTTTGGAAGGAGGGGAATTGGGCTTTGGACATGTTAGGTTCAAGATGCCTCCAGAACATTCAATCTGTGATATCCCAGTGTTATAGCATTTTCACAGTTCTTTTAGGATTCCATTTAAATGTCTCCTTTCACTGGTTTACTCATTCTTCTATGGCTCTTAAAGTGTTGTTATGTCCCAAGGCTCAGTCCTTAACCCTCTTAGTTCTTATCATCCATTTCTGTAGTTTCAGTTATCATCTCTTGCTGATATGGAGGGTGGAATAACTGTTGAATTTGCTTTTTAAAGCTTTAAAACATACCATTTTATACCCCATGGCTGCCCAGAGCCATAGTTGTACACTTTCAGTTCTCTGATGGATGCCTCTACCTTGACGTCCTTACGGCACCTTAAATTCAACACATTGAAGGGGTCCTTTCCAGTTAAGCCTTGGACCCTGTGTACGAAACTCATCTTCCTTCTTAATGTCTCATGGAGTCATTAGCTTTCACCCGCCCAATGCTACTTTTTAAGGAATTACTTTCTTCAGTGAATTTTTGCACCTCTTTTTCCATTTGGCTGATTTTACTTTTTAAGGACTTCTCTAGGTGTTAATTTTCTTCAATATTTTCTTTTTCAAACTTTTGACTCTTTTTTCATGATTTTCTTGTATGCCTCTCATTTCTTTTCCCAACTTTTCCTCTACCTCTTTTATTTAATTTTTAAAATCCTTTTTGAATTCTTTCAGTAATTCTTTGTGTCTGAGATCAATTCACATTTTTCTTTGAGCTTTGGAGATAGCCATTTTCACCTTGTTGTCTTCTGAGTTTGTGTTTTGAATTTCCTTGTCACCATAGTAATTTTTGGTGATCACATTCTTTTTTGGTTTCTTGCTCATTTTTCCAGCCTGTTTCTTCACTTTTAACTTAATGCTAAAATTATGCTGCCACGGTGGAGGAAGCCCTGTCCTAAGCTTCAGGTTTTTGTGTGTGGCTGTTTTCAGAGCTAGTTTTAGGAGTCTATAAGTCTTCAGTACTTCCAAGGTGGTAAGATCTAAGGAGGGGTGTGGTCATTGCTCTCTTGGCCTGTACTCTGGTCTGTGAGCACTCTATTCTGCACTGGAACTGTGACCAGGGTCCCTGCTCCCACTGTGGTGACAAGCTCTGATGTGCTGTTGCTCCTCCTTGCCCAGAGACTGCAACACAGAGCTGAGTATGGGCAATGCAACAGAGTCCTTCACCCAGTGCCAGTAGTTACAGGGTCCCTTGTAATCTCCTTCTGACCTGTTGTCCAGCCCCGTTACTGTCTGTGGGCTGAGAGCTCAAGCCAATTCATTAGCTGCCAGGGCCTGCTGCTGGCTTGTTGTGGGGAGGCCTGTGCTGGGCTGTGCTACATTCTCACCCCAGTGAGACAAATATTTCCTGCCAGAAGTTGTGTTGGGCTAGAAAATTGTTTACCCCGTCCTTTTGTTGGTTCTGCTGCTTCAGCGTTCATTTCAAGGTGCTATTTTAAAGTTATTTATTTACACAGGAATTTGGGAGACCTCAGGTGAGTCCTTGCCTTTATTCCACCATCCTGGCTCTACCTGCCCCCCCCTAATTTCCCTCCCCTCAGTCTTTGCTTTCTGATGTGTCCTCCTTTCTTTCTTAGGCCCTTTTTACCTCTCTGTTGTGATAGCTTCCATCCATCTTTTACCCATATGATCTTCCTATCTGTCCTTTACCTATATGGACAATAGACTACTTGGATTGGGCCATTCTTCATGGCTGAAACCTTTAATGTCTCACCCTGTTTACTAAATAAAGCGTAAACTACGTATCTTGGCATTTACATACTCTACAAGCTTCACTCATGCTGCTTGTCTTCATATAGTCTACATTCTTGCCAGATGGGATCATTCACCGCTTGTTCCTCGTCTGCCCTCCCTGATCTGTGCCATTGCTTCTGCCTAAAACGGCCTTCCCTCTCCCCAGAAATCTCTTTTTTCTTTCCAGGTGCGACCTACTTCGTATGGCCTTGAGCCCTGGTCCTCTAACTGGAAGCGATCTATTCATTCTCAGATGTCTCATAGCATTTTTGTCTAGATCTTCCCTTTATATTTGTCATGGTCTACCTCATGTTGTTGTTTGGGTATATGTCCTATTCCTTAGGGCACGTGCTATAAATTATTTCACCTTTATATCCTCAATTCTGTGTATTTCACATAATTCATGCTTAATAAATGCTTAAAAAAATTTTTTTTGAAGGGGCTTTGTAAACAGCAAAACTCTTTTTTTGGCAAACAGGAGCTTCCTAAATTTGTATATATTTGAATACATGTGAAAGGTAGATGGGTGAAGATGTTAGAGGAATGGTGGACATCTTCCAAGTCCTTAACACTCCCAAGCAGGTTGGCCAATGATCAGGCAAGCAGGAGTGGAGCCAGATGGGTTTGAAAGCAGCAATTTTTTGGGAGCAGATGTGACCCAGTAGCAGTAGTGTCAGATGACAAAGTAAGCCACAGGTACATTTGACAACCCCTGTCTTTTATCACTGACTACGCCTACCTCTAGTCCCTGAAAACCTGGCAGAAGTGTCTGGTTAAAAAAAAAAAAGCGGGAGGAGGCAGAACCCAGTGAAGGGTGTGGATTTGCTTTCTCCATTAAGTAGAATGTCAGACAGGTCACTATCTTTAATCACAAGTCAATCATTTTGTTGGAGATAAATTAGTTTCAGGTAAATCAGTTCTGTGGAATGAAATTCAACTCAGCAAATGTGTTTAGCGCCTACTCTGTGCCCTGGCACTGTGCTAGGTCTGGTGATATGAAAACAAAAAACAAAACAGTCCCTGCCCTCAAAGGGCTTATGTTCCTACTAGTGATAAGAAAATACAAAGTATATTCCAAGATATACAAAGTAAAAAGTTTCAGGACTGAGAAAGATCACTAACAACTTGGAGATTAGGAAAGACCTTATGTCTTAAGTGGCCCCTCAACTGTTCCTTGAAGGAAGCTAGAGACAGAGGGGAAAGAAAGCATTCTGCATTTGATGAATTCTACATCCATCGTCCTAATCCCTCTTCTGTTTGCCTAACAGTTCTGAGCACACTCATCCTCCACGTGTCAGGATGTATTTGGTTTTGTTTGCTTTGGGAACATCTTGGTAACTATCAGAAGCAGTAAATTTATTGATTTCTCAGACTGACTTAGATTACAAAGGAAGTTCTATGTTGCCCGGGTTGTCCATAGCAATCTTGTCTGAAGAGTACAGCTGGTTTGAGTAAGTGAACTTTACAAAATGGACAGAGGGTTCGTAGAAGCTACAGCTATGCATTGGGCACTACCAGATCCAGTTTAATATACTGAATTGGGCAGAGAAGAGGAGGGGCAGGTAGGGAGTTATAAATAGATAGACTACGGAGAAGAGGAACCTTACAGTTTAATTAGGGCGATATGAGGAGGCGAACTTGTATATTGAAGGTAGATATATACTTTTTTTTTTGCAGCAACTGTGAAGCGTTTCATCTCCTACCTTGTGCCTTTAAACAAGTTTTTCCCCATCCCTGGAATGGTCTTCTTCCTCACCTCCACCTCTTAGAATCCTTAGCTTTCTTCATAGCCCAGCTTCAGAGAGTGTGTATGTTTTATGAGGCCTTCCTGATGCCCTTAGATTCTAGTGCTTAGCACTGCTCCTGCCACACTTAATAAATGTCAATTGATTGATAGAATCTTCCTCCTCTTACAATTCCCTTGTACTCACTTTTAAAATATTTTGTATTCTTTTAGATATTTACATATTATGGACAGCTCCTTCCTTCCTTCCTCCCTCCTTCTCTGTCTCTTTCATTCTCTCTCTCTTGCTCTCACTCCATCTCCCTCTTTCTATTTCTTTGTTTTTGTATCCCCACCACCCAGTACAGGACATGGCATATGGTACCTCCTTGGTAAATGCTTATTGATTGAGAGATTGCTGGTTTACTAAAGGGAACTATGGTTGTGGGCTTGGACTTCTTGTTTGGGTGAATTCTGTTCTCTTTAAACTCTGCATCTTAATTCTTTAATCTTGACTTTCTTGATCTTTGTGTTTCTTGGCTCGTTCTTTCCCTCACTTTTTCCCCCTTCAAAGGCTAAGTTGCTCTCTCTTTCTCTCATGTTTACAGAGGACAATCTGAAGCTTCCCTGAGCTGTTTCTGCCTCAGTAAGTGAGAAGATGAGACCAAAAGGGAGAACCTAGGCAACCTGAGCATTTTTCAAAAATCCTGGAAGGTGAGTAGATAGATTGTTTGCATGTACAGTGCTTTGGAGGAGGGCAGTTAATCCTGTACCCTCCCACCAATGGCTCAAAAAAGGAGTTGAAATGGTTAGCTTCTAGAAGGCAGGAAGCTATCTGTGTAGAGAGTCTCATTTTCCAGAGCCCATCCGTGCTTAACAGGAATGCAAATCATTAGACTCTCTCACCTGAAGGTGCTGGGAGAGAATACTAAAACTTTGTTAGATAAAGGCCAACAGTTGACAGGCCCATACCTACTTTAACCAACCTGTCCTTTGCAAAACTTGTGTCATGGTTTTTTGAGGGGAAGGACAGAGATGAAATCCCCTTTAGGGAAGGTCTCAAAAGGACAGCCTGTTACCTTCTCCATCCTCAACCATTGCCCCCCACACTTCTCTTCTGGAAGTGTCCCTGAGAGAAGAATTCTGAGAGAGAATGAGAACAGGTTCAGGGAGTAGGGAGAGCCAATGGAATCCAAGAGAAAGGTCTGTCGTGGCACACTAGGAAATACCTTCCATGCCAATTGGTAGGTCGAAGGAATTATTTGAATTTGCAGTGTGTAATTCTTATTTCTGTGAAAGTACTTTCACATATTCATCTCATTTCACACTCATAACTTTGCAAGGCCCATCTGCAAATCTTTGTTATCTGCATTTTACAGACAAGAAAATCGAAAGTCAGTGACCTGTGTGAGTCTACATATTGATTGAGTTAGGATTAAAACTCAGGTCTCTTGATTCAGTCCAATGCTATTTCCATCGTGCCATCCTAACTCCCTCCAGTGAGGAGTAACTAAAATCCACATTACAAAGAGCTGGTTGGTAAGCAGAGGAACAACCAAGATTTAAGAGTAGCTGTTGCACGCTCTCTTGCTCTGCCATCCTCCATCTAGGTCTGTGAAATAATTTTGTTTGTTCTTCACGATAAACTGGTGAGATTGGCAGGGCAGTGGTTATTATCTCTATTTTGCATCTACAGAAACTGAGGTTCAGGTTTTGTGAATTACCTAAAGTCACATGACAAGCAAGGGGCAGAACTAGGCATAAAGCCCAGATCTTCTGAATCCTGGTGGTCTTTCAATTATACCTCATGATCTCCCTTCATTAATCCCCCTGGCCAAATGGCGGGCTCCTAGAGGTCAGAAAATATCTTAGACTTCTTCATATCCTCCAAAGGGCTTATCATATTGGGCATTCAATATAGACTTGATGAATTAAATTGAATTTCTGGATTGGTGAACCTGAATCATGCTCATTTGCCATTTACTGTCTGCCAAGGCCCTGAAAGTGCTCTCTTCTCCCTGTAGGGAAGCCTCTATTGGCCATGGCCACCAGTGACTCTCACCCAGAGTGCTGCCCAGCCTCGACTCTCCATGGCCAGCCTCTCTCCAAGAGCTCCTCCAGCCTACTGGGTGATAGACCAGGCAACGGGCAGGAGCTCCGGAAGAGTGTCAGTAGCACAGTCTGCCAGAGTCCTGCTGGCGAGGGTGACCCAAGCCAGCTGGCTGGAGAGAGCAGTGCTGGGGCCACAGTGGAAAGAGAAGTGCAGAGTACCTTGAGAGCAGGGAGCCACGTCTTGAGCCCAGACCAAGTCCCCCGCCCCTGGCAAGAGAAGAGCTCAGTCTTCCGCTCCAAGAGCAGCACTGTTGGAAATGTGTACTCCATGGGGGAGAGGGAACTGTCACCTTCAAGCTTGGGGGTGCCAGGGGCTGCAGTGCAACGAAGCCATTCTGACTTAGCCTCAGGCTGCAGGCATGTCAGCCTCAATGTTCCCATGGAAGCTAGCGTTAGCTGTTCTGCTCTGGGCTCCTCATCAAATGGAAGAAGCAACCTCATTCCAAGAAATGTGTTCATGCACAGGCCTGGCATAGGGCCTCATGACAATGTGGACCCAGGCAACCAGCCTCCTTTCCCTGACCCTGAAGGTTCAACTGACAATGTTGGAGGTGATCTGGTCTCACAGGATGCTGAGGCTGGTAGAGATACAGTAGCTACCTTACCTGCCTCTGTTGTAGAGGTCGAGATAGCTGGAGACAGCTGTAGGAGTGACTCAATTCAAGATCCAGGTGGTAGGACGCAAGGTAGCATCCCCTCGTGCTCGGTGCCCATGGCTTCTGGGCGCATACATACCACCTCCTCTCCTTACTGTCCTAGACAAGCAGAAACTTCTGTGAGGACGAGTGATACCCACTCTGCCTACTGCCACCCCCTGCCCATCCCAGCCCTCCAGGTTGGCCCTGGGATGCTGTGTCCCATGAATGAAATGGGTGTCCCTGGATGCTGCCACGTCCTGTCCACATCAGAGATTCTGACATTTCCCAAGCTGGTATCATCTGTGAGTGAATCTGGCCTCCATAATCAGCACTTGGTTAGATACCGCAGGCTGGCGGATGAGGCCCCAGTTTGCATTCATTGTTATGCTCCAAACAAGTGCCCACAGCAGGAATCTACAGCAGGTTCTATGCTCCTCGTAAGCCAACCAGCCACAGACCCTGTCACCAAGACCAAAGATGTGTCGACCATGACTTCCACTGGCGACTTGGCATTGGGACCACTGGCCTCTCTGCATTGCAGGGATGCTGAGGTACAAACAGCTCCATCGACAGCCTGCAAGGCTGTGGCCACCAGTCCCTCCCCGCTCAAAGACCAGGTGCCCCCCCATGTATTCCCAGAGGTGAACTTGGAGGTCAGCAGAGAGGAGCCTAAGTCCCCAGTGCGAGAGGTCAGGTGGGATGAAGAGGGGATGACCTGGGAGGTATATGGAGCTTCGGTTGATCCAGAAGTTCTGGGCCTGGCCATCCAGAAACATCTGGAGATTCAGATTGAGCAGTTCCAGACTATTCCCTCGAAAGAGGGCACCCAGCCAGGTGGTGAGGAGGCCCTGATTAAGGAGGGGAAAAGAAGGCCCTTTCGAACCATGATCCAGTCCCTGAGACGTCCTAGCTGTTGTGTCCATTCGAGCACTGCTGTAGAATAATGAAGATGCCCTTTCCTTTCTACCCTGAGACTTTCTGGGGTTGGCTGGTTCCTTCTGCAATAGAAGATGCATTATTCAGGAAAAAAAGAAATCATTGCAAAGCCCTCTGGGATTGGGATGCCAGTCTGTATGGATAAGAAGTGTCTGAGGCAGTCACTTAATTAGCAACACTCGCAGTACATCCAAGTGGGAGGAAAGGGAAAAGAGGTGGAAATTGTCAGTTGACTGCCATTGAAAAATCTCTGCCCGTTGACTCATCACCCATCTCTGCCTTCCTGTGCTGGAGCGAGACTCTAGCTCATCTATTTAGGTGCCATAAGCACTGAGGAGTGTGTCTGGATTTTTAAAGGGAGGAGTCTATTTTCTGCATCTCTTCTTACTGGGGACTAGCTTTCAAAGTTTAGCTTCAAAGCGTTCTTTTTTTTTTTTCAGTGTTACATTGGTTAACCTCATTTCAGACCTAATGCTGTAGTCTTACGAAACCTCAATACCAAATGTGAGCCCTCCCCATAATCCCCCTCCACCTGATAGTGATTGCCTTTCCATCATTGCTCAGTTAATGAATTACTAAGTTGCTCGGGGACTTCTGTTAGGTCTGAGTTATTTCTTCACTGCAGGTAGAATGGACTGTTTCCAAAGGAAAGGCCTACTTCAGAAAACATTTAATTGCAATATGTGTGCCCTGTGCCTAGGGCTAGCATTATGAATAGGCAGGACAGTTAGTGATGTCTGATTTCAGAGGCATCAGTAAATCACGTGGTTTGATTTCAGGGACATCAGGAAAGGACCTCTGCCCCCACAATATTTTTCAAGCTGCCTGAAATTCCATGATTAGAGCATCATCCCATTAGTTTAAGACTCTCTGGCACCTGTTAAGATGCAAATGCTCCCTGGAAAAGAGGTGTCATGTTTTAAGCCTTATGTGACTGCATACACCTCGGTGTGAATAAGTTTGTCAGCTCCTTTTCTGAGAACAAGTTCTGGTGGGAAAGGAAGAGAGACAAAGGTGCTGGGGTGCATAGGAAGTCCCACCTTTCATAAGTGTGACCACATTGTCATGATTTTGGGAAGTTATAGCATATAAATGCAGCTTACATTCAAGGGGGCAGCCCTTCTGTTTACCCTCTCAAGTCCAAGGACCTGGGGTGTCATTTTTATCGTTTTTGGAGTTCCCCACAGAAAACTCAGCAAGTAGCTCAGGCTTTTGCATAGCAAACTGCAGGACACCCAGGTGTTGCCTTTTTAATGATGATGTGAATGCCAGTGAGGTTGTTTTTTTGTTTTTGTTTTTGTTTTGTACATTGCATGGCCCACACGTGAATGTGGGGCAGGATCTGGTCCCATGTAACATGCCCACAAAGGGAACTTCAGGGTCAGAACATGTGTTGTAAAGCATCTCCAGTGCTCCTGGCATATGGGTGGATTGTCATGTTTTCAAGTGGGCCCACAAGGCCTTCCTGGATCTTCCCTGTGGATCATGGAATATGGATGGATACCAGTATCTGCCTGCATGGTCGCCATTTTTAAACAAGGAAATTGGATTGAGAGGAGAAACTAATGCTAACATTCCCCTTTGTTTGGGGGAAAGATCTGAGCCTGAGCCTTGGGTTCTCCTAGTTGCTCTTGACTTTTATTTTTTTAAAGAAAAAAAGAAAACCACCGTAGTATTCTGGTACCAAAGTGAACCCAATCTGTGTTCTTTTTGCACTGGCCCATGCTGCTTAGCGCCTTAGTTTTTAGATTTGTATGTTTATGTGTGTGTGTGAGTGTGTGTGTGTGTGTATGTACATTGTGTTTGTGTTTTTCTGAAAATGAAATGTAACAAAAGGGCTAATAACCATCCCATGGTAGGAAATGTGCTCACACTGCTTCCTCTGATGCTTTTCCTTCTCTTCTCTGTAAGGTTGTTGTCCTTTCTGCTGTTTTAGTGTATTGGTATGCATGTGATAGTGCAGCAACATGAAAAATGTGCCCTTGGTGTACAAAGATGACATTACTAAATTATAGCTCCAGAAGTTGATGCAGACTTGTGCTGAGCTGCTCTCATTTTCTTCTTGTTCTCCCCTGGGAGCAGCTGCAAAGGATCAACCGGAATCCGTGGCCAGAGCGTGGGGTCAGTCCGTGGCCAAGACTCAAGCCCAGCCTGTGGCCATAGTGAGGGGCTCAGTCTTGGTTGGAGCAAATTTGTGTCTGAGGATCAGGGTTAGGTCTAAATCTGTGGCTAAGTTGAAGGTGGGAGTGGTTAGGATCAGTCTATGATCCGGATTAATGCTCGGTGTTTGCTTAGGGTGGGGTTGTTGAGGGTTATGGACAGGTTAAGCAGGGCTCAGTTTGTAGCTAGTTTTAAATTATGAGTACGGATTTAGAGTTAGAAGGGACCTCATAGGTCGGTTAGTCCAACTGTTCTCATTTTGCCAAATAGCTGATAAGTGTCCGAGGTGGGATTTGAACTGAGGTCTTCCTGTCTCCAAATCCAGCAGTCTTCACTATACCATGCTCCCTCTCCTGAGGCTATGGCCAGGACTAAGGGACTAAGTGCCAGGACTCAGTTAATAGCCATAGTCAGGGAGTCAGTCCAAGGTCAGGATTAGAGGGTCAGCTTGGTCATAGGAGTTAGCTCCTAGCTCATTCTATATTTAGGGTTTTGGACTGGGATTGGGGCTCACTCTGGGACCAGAGTTGAAAGGAATGTCAGTTTGTGACTGGATTTAAGATGTAGCCTGATTCCTGGGGTGGGGAGAGGGGGAAGGTCAATTTGTATTAGAGTTTAAGGAGTCAGTGTGTGGCCAAGGTTAAGGGATCAATCTTTGGTTACAATTAGGAGCTTAGTGTGTTGTCGGTATTAAGGGATTAGGGATCAATTTATATGCAGTTAGGGTTGGAGTATCGTCAGTTTATGGCTGGGTTTAGGGTACAGTATCAGTCTCTGGCCAGTGTTAATATCTCAGCCTCTAGTCAGGGAATCGAAGGTTATTATTATTTTTTTCTGTGCAAAGTTAACTGGCCCCCATGGGGATTGAGCCCAGAGTGTTGTCCTAATTATGTCTAAGCTCAAACTGAATTAATTGGTTCAAGTCCAGCAACTCAGTTATCAAATGTGGGCTTAATGACTAAATTGGGGCAAGAAGATACGTTTGTCCAATTCAGCCACAAGTCTGACACCTGCCGTGGTTTAATGTTTACAGTGTCACTAGTTCAATCCTTCTGTTGTGACTTTATTTTACAATATGACTTTTTGGGCTCCCTTATGATTGTGTGTGTTTTGTGAAATCACTATGAATAAGAAGGCAGCTTCCAAAACTTTGCCAAGATGGTGGTTCGTTTCGTTCACATCCCTAGGAGTAGGGTTGTGGCACTCATGGGGTGGGGGTGAGGGAGCAAGGGAAAGCCACCTCCTATTGTTGGGGGCAAAGGGATGGCCCAAAAGAGTGTCCACATAAGCATAAATCAGAAGCCATGTTAGATCAGAAGGTGAGGGTTTTTTAAATATCAAAATTCAGGGAGACAGTGGGAAATGGGAAATAGGTCCCCCATACCCCCTCCTAATTCAGTTGCACTAGTGAAACTGTGGGCTTGGAGAAAGATGGGATAAGAAAGTTTTCAGGGCTAGGAAAGGAACAATCTGGAGATTTTTAACTTATTTATTTATTTTGGTTATAGCAAATCCAGTCATTTGTTGTAGAGGATCACACAATTTTAGATTTAGAAGGGATATTAGAGGTCATCTAATTGATCTTTGAGAAATGGTTAGGAATTTTAAAAAGCCACCCCTCGATGGAACTTACTACTTTGCAAGACAACTTATTCCATTGTTTAACAATTATGTGGCACAAGGGACCCCATACCCTGAGACACCCCACTCCAGAAAGCTACTCCAGGTACTTTGTATGTCAGAATACTTTCAAAACCATAGCTTGTAGGTGCCCACCAGTGTGTTTACTTTTACTAGTCGTGCGGAAGCTATCGTTAGTTCAAAGCAAAGGAATTTAGTGAAATACCATAATAATGACAATTATAGCAGAACATTCCAGATATAAACCTTGACCTCACTCTCCCACAAATAATCATACTCTCAGGGGGAAGAGTAAATAGGAATAATATACCACTGGGGATATGTATGTTGCCAAAGCACTTACAAGTTGAAGCACACAAACAGGTAATATGTGTGGCTAGAGCACAGATGTGAAGAAGTACCACATACCTCTAACACATACCGCTGTACATCCACCAGTGTCTTCTGGTTGGTGTGTCATCGTGATGTTCTCTGCTCAGCCTGTTTTCCACCAGGCATCAAATCTCCACTGTTCCCCTTTGGGCATTATATCTTTATTCTAGTTAGTTTTCAGCTATCTTTAGGGCAATTTAATATCCTGCCCACCTTTTAATGTCTTTGTGTGCTTATATCACAATAAAATGCCTATATGCCCTTCCTTTCCCCTTTCCTACCTCTCAGTTTTAACAAAGAAAACAATCAAGCTAAACTAACTAGTATGGTAACTGTGTCTATTCACGTGCTGCATTGACCAGCCATAGTTTTCTTGACTCTGTATTCCATAGTGGTCATCGCATTTATTCAGAGTAAATATGTTTTTGTGTTGTTTTTATTTCCATTACTGTAGCCATTTGTGCTTGTTTTTTCCATCACCCTATAAGCTAATACAAGTCTTCTGAGGTTTCTCTAAATTCCTCATTAATTTCTTACAGTCAGAGGAGCTAGCAATCAGAGAAACAGTGGTCAGAGAAGTAATGACTACAGCATCACGGAAGTAGAGGGAAAGGATGGTCATTGGTGTCAGGCCCAAGAGAATGACTGAAGAGAAAGTTATTGTAATTGTTGTTTATGTGAGACCTTCAAGAAAGTGCAGCCAGAAGCCGGGTTATTAAGGAGCAGATGCATGGACAGAAAGTGGAGGCACTGAATATTCTTTTCTGAAGCTTAGTTGCAAAGGAAAGTAGAAAAAGATAAAGGTAGCTAGGGCAGGTACGGGATAGAAGAGGAAGGAGTTTTCAGACGAGGGAGATGGGGACCTGAGCATGATGGTAGGCTAAGGGGCAGGAGCCATTGGAAAGGGAGAGACCGAAGATACAAAATGAGGAGGTGATAATTGAGGGAGTGGGTTCTTAGGGGAGGTGGGGGAGGATGGGATCAAGAATGTGGGTCAATGTGCTAAATTTAATGGATGTTTTTAAAACATGCTGTGCCTAGCAGATTCACAGTTTCTTTTTTTTTTTAATTAGGCAACTGGGATTAAGTGACTTGCCCAGGGTCACACAGCTAGTAAGTGTCAAGTGTTTGGTCTGAGACCGGATTTGAACTCAGGTCCTCTTGACTTCAGGGCCGGTGCTCTATCCACTGTGCCACCTAGCTGCCCCCCAGATTCACAATTTCATATGTAATCCTCATTCTGTTCTTTGTATATGGAAATAGTCGTGTTTATTTTTGTCAAGTTCATTAAAAAAAGGAAAAAAGAGAATGAGTAGAGAGATTTACCTTGGAAAGAGGAGGTACAAAGAAGAAGAGAAAGCATAGTTTGTATAGTAGGGGAAGCTCTAGATGCAGGACCTGTATCTACTTAGTGAAGTAGCTGGCCTAGTAAAAGGAGGGGTGTTGGGGTGAGAAGGACCATACTCCTTTTGGGGGCTCATTTTTGTAACTGCCTCTTTTGTAGGCTTTAGACTTTTTTTTTTTTAATAAACAAGCCTCAGTTCATTCTGGGCTTTGGATTTCCTGGCTCTATGTGCCACATGTTTCTATGCCTCCTTGGTACGTGCCCATTAGCACATTTTTAAAAAATGTCCTTTTAAAATAGGTAAGTATTAGTGAACTAGCTATGAAGCTACATTAGCTTCTTTAGACAGCTGACCCCTTTCTTGATCATTGAGATTATTCATGGTTGTATAGTAGGAGCTTAATTTTTTAGAACATTTAATCTATCCTAAACTCTTTTGAAAGCTTTGGCCTTGAGGTAATTCCTTACCTTTTCCCTCAGCTTTTAAAAATCTTTCCTAAAGCCTGACTATGCCAAATGTCCCATCTTTTCCATATATGAACTTTAGGTTGAGACATTCATTCTCTCTCAAGCTTCCCAATGGTATGGTTGATGCAAGAAGCTGGACATACTTCAATTAAAATTAATTTTTTTTCAGTTCTTTCTATATATGAGGCAGTATTCACAGGAAATAAGGACTAAGTTAGACAGATGGTACAATAGATCTCTTTTCCTTCTGGATCCAAGTATCTAAGTACTTGGAATGCTGGGAGTTATCTGAAAGGAAAGCAAAAATCACATTAAAAGTACCCATGCTGAGAAACCAGGTCTTAGCTAGGTAGGGGAAATAGCTACCCGGTTATCCTTACATTTTTCCCCTTTTTCATTTCTTTTAAGCCTTGTTGATATCTTTTGTGTACGTGTGTGTGCATATGCATGCACATACACCTATTTGGATACATTTTTGACAATGCCAAATATCCCATCTTTTCCTTATATGACACATAATATTTATACACACACACACACACACACACACACGTGTGTGTGTGTGTGTGTGTGTGTGTGTGTATGCCTCTCCTCCCATGTTATTGCAGTGGGATTTTCATTTTATTCCTTTTTTTTTTTTTTCGGCTAGGCAATGGGGTTAAGTGACTTGCCCAGAGTCACACAGCTAGTAAGTGTC